TGCGTATGTAATTTGTGGTTCACGCCTTAATTAAAAACAATTTTGAATATACTACAAAATTATTTAACATTAATAAATTTTAATAAATTCAATAATATAATATGATAGTATAATAATTTGAAGGTCAACGATAATTTATTACATTATGTAATTTTGTAACTTAAAATTAAAATTAAATATTCAAATTAACTCAGCTAGATATAATATATAAATAAAAGTTTTTTAAAAATACAGGTTAAATATTATTAACAAAAAAAATATTATCGTTTATAAAAAATTTATAAAGTTTTTCTCATGTCATCCAAACGTCTCTGATATCGATCTAACTCAGGTTGAGTGGGATTTTTGAGCGAGGTCAAAAAATCATCGAAATCAGCCAATTGATTGATCCGAGTCGTTTTATCTAGCTCAGACAATTTTGCATCTCTAATCGCCTTTTTCACTTTCATATACTCCAACGATAAGCGCCCCCTTTTGACACTCATGTCCTCGGTTATTAATTGGACATTACTGGGCATATGATTATGAATTGAGCTTGGTGCCACATCCGAATCAATAACAATAGCCTCGTTGTTGGTATAATGTATCGAACCGAATGTGTTATTTTGAACAAGCTCGTTAAATTTGATGTCATTAGGTGGCGCCCCCGGCATATGGGTATTGATTTGGAAACTGTCGGCCACTTTTTGGCGGCGAAATTCGTCCACAATTTTATCTAGGTTATGTTTTAAAATATTGTTACATTTTAATTAATTAAAAATATACATTTTAAATGTATTTGTCTTATAGAAATTTAAAAAACAGCAAGGTCTTAAAAATACTTACTCTTATACTTAGTCGTACGTCCATTACTGGTGGCCAATACACTGACATTATATCTCCCGGAACCGCAATAATCGGTGAAATAATTGTAATAATAACCACTCGTATGGTAGCGATTGAGCGCTAACTCAGTGGGCGTGCCGCTAGGCTTATCCACAGTTGCCGTCAACAGAGCGCCGACAACCGGCTCATCCGACTTATGGAGTCGACACACAATAAGTGGTGGACAGTCGACATCGGGTGCTCTCAGGCATACGTTCAGCTCAATCACGGCGTTAGTTTTTGGCTCACTTTGAATGACTACCTGTGCGCGGATAGTTTTGTGGGCCTTGCCCTGTTTGGACAGTTGCACACGCCATTGACCAGGCTCACACGTGTCTATCAGTAGTTTTGCACGTTTTAGAGCAAAGTCCTTAGGGAACTGTCCGCTCGTGGTGTCGAATATGCGACCGGAAGGGGAGATAACGCTAATCTCCAGTAAATCGATGTCTTGCGAGTTCACCTGTAAAAAGTAGCATGGCAATAAACTTTAAATTTATTTATAAATAACCAAAGCCAATATATTAAATGCTACATTTAGCTTAATAATATATATATATTATTTAAAATGTATCATATCCATTTTTACCTGTAAACTAGTGTTACGCCCAATATCCGAGTCGATCGGTATATTTATAACTTGTGTGTCTCGGCTATCGTCCAACACCACGATGTCGTTATACACGGATACAATAACCACCTCGGCCATTTCCGTAGACATGTTCACCTCCTCCATGGCGGCGCTGATCACCCGGGCCATCATCTCGCGACTATTTTCGCTCACATCGTTCAGATTAAACACTGTTCCCCCGGTGCTAGTGGTCAGGCGCTCAAGATTTTGATCAGCACTAGTGCCTATTGCCAAACATTTTACGATAACCTAGATCATATGTAATACATTAAAAATCTTAAACTTTTACAATTAGTAATGTTATATGTACAATTTATAGAAATTATATCTCATAACTTTATACGATAGGGCATCATTGTGGAAATTATAGATAGTCGATATTAATCGAAACCTGTACATTTTAATCTTATACTACGTGCTCAAAGTTGCAAAACTTGTCAAACTTAGCTAAAAAACTTGTTAAAAAACAGAAACTTAATTAAAAATAAATGTACATGATTACTCAGACATATGTTGCTATAATGAAAATGAGTATGTTAATCATATTTTGTATGAGTAAGCAAGCTAAGTTTGACAAGTTTTGCAACTTTGAACACGTAGTATAAGATTAAAATGTACAGGTTTCGATTAATATCGACTATCTATAATTTTCACAATGATGCCCTATCGTATAAAGTTATGAAATATACTGTATCTCACTTATAATCTGTGTACACCTATGACCTAGATGGTAATTTAAATCGCAACCTGTAATATTGTTTTTTATTAAAAAACAAACAGTGTACCTTTGCCTGGAGCACGTGTGGTAGTACATCACCCACGTAATCCCTATTACCAGTGCAATGCCCGCCATCGGTAGCTAAAAACAAAATGGCGCCCTCTGTCGCTATATTAGCCGCCCTTAACGCCTTTAGTCCCTCTAAAATGCCGGCCCTTATATCAGTGCCACCTCTGGCCATTCGCGGCACTTTGTCCTTGAGCCTTTGTCGTGTGGCGCTGTCGGTCACCGGGACTATCGGGTGCTCAGTCCAGGTCTTGTCGTCAAACAGGACGATACCCACGTGACTGCCACCCGCCTGATCCTCAATGAACCGTTGGATACCCAGTTGTAATGTCTCACATTTGGCGCCACCCATACTGCCCGACACGTCCAACACGAACACAATGCGCGGTTTCATATTTGTATTACCAAGAACAATAAATTATATATTTGGATCTGCATAATTTTAAGATAAAAAATAGTTTAATTTGCTAATTTAAAAGTATTTTTATACTTTTTTTTGTATATCTAGCTTATCATTATTAATTAAGTATTATTACAATATTAATTATTATTTACATATGAAATTCTGATTTAATAAAAATTTTTCATGTATAAAGTTTTTATATGAAAAATTAAACAATACAATTTTATAATTTCTAAATTTAATACATTACCTTTATAATAATTATTTTTATATTAATAAAGTGATGTATGAATATCACAACAATAATTCTCTATGACTAATACTTTATTTTTTATGATAACTTTTTTTTTTCTAATATTTTTGCTGTGAATATACTGTATTTCTACTGTGACAATATTCATTAATTTAATATAAAGTTTATTTTGTATGAAATATTTTATATTAAAAGAAATCCAAAGTCCATATCTGTTTTTATAACTTTATTTTCATGCAATTGACATTTGATAAGCAATGTATTAAATTAAAATAGTTTTGGAAATTTAGTTTTCGGTTAGTTTAATGTGTTAGGTTTAAAGTGTTATTTATAGTCAATTAATTTATTTTAATGTTATTATTAAATTATTATACTTTATAATATGCAACATTTAATTAAGTACATGTGTAAATTTAATTTTTAAATTAAAAAGTACTATTATAATTTTAGAATATAATGTAACTAGTTAATAGATTTAATTGTATTTTATTCATTAGGGACTGTCTCAAATTAATATTAAAATTGATAACTTTTAAACATACCACTTAATTTTGTATATCTATTTCATTTCTAATTTAACATAATTTTGCGGATAAATTATTAAAGGAATTAAAAGGATTTATAAAGGTAAGTTTTTCTTAAACTATAATTTATACAATATTTATTCAGTTAAATTATTTGCAGGAATAAATACAAAAGTTTTAATTTCCAATTTATGAAACGTACTGAACCAGAAATAATATATTTTTTATATTGTTTACTGAGTTATTTAAGTTTTATAATAAAATTATTTTAATTTAATATAAATCATTCAATAACGTGTAATGCATTTATAATAATTTCTAATATTTATTTTATTATTTACAATTTTTAATTACAATACTATGTTATATCTAATTAGATTATTGTTATAATACAATATAATTTTTATTTTCATACAATTGTTATTATGTTTAGCATTAATTATAATAATATAAAATTTATTTTCATTGTTCATTAATGTTCAAACTCTCACTCACTCACACAAACACAAACACATACAAAATTGTAAACACATTAATTTGGTGTTTTTGTGTGAGTAGCTTATTTATTTTATAGTATATTCAAAATTGTTTTTAATTAAGGCGTGAACCACAAATTACATACGCACGCCTAGGGGGTGGGGGTCATGCCAAAGCGTATGTCCCCATGTTAAACTCCTATGTACAATGGGCGTGTAGAGGGATGGGGGTGGATTTTTGATAAATATTTTGCGTACGTACTTTGTGGATGACGCCTAATTAATCTATATTAACGTAGTGTACATTAAATTTTAGAGTAACTTATTGTTAAAAAAACTGTAACTTATAATAATAATAAAAAATTAAAAATCATATCATTTTAGAGCTTTGTTTTCAGACAGTAAATTAAAAAAGAAATGATTCCAATTGAATGTGTAATCAATAAATAATGGCTAATAAACGAGAGGTAGTCCTCAAACCCTTTTTGCCATCAATTCAAAACCTATTATAAAAATGTATGTGTTTTTGAAACGCGCGACACAACACTGTTCTCGTAATGCTATTCAATGGGAAACTCTCGCAAACCCCTTATCAGAACTACCTCTCATTTATCAGTTATTATTTAGTTATAACAAATTCAATTGAAATCATTTCTTTTTTAATTTACTGTCTGAAAACAGAGCTTTTAAATGATATGATTTTTAATTTATTATTATTATTATAAGTTACAGTTTTTAAGCAATAACTTACTCTAAAATTTAATGTACACTACGTTATAAGTTATACTATTATAAATTATATGTTTCAATTCGTTAACATTGCATACATTATAATATTTCCTATCTAGGTTAAAATAATAATCATGTCCAACTGTACGATTGCAAATATCGGCGACAATTTAAATATTAGCCTGGACACTTTGGGACGCATATTGAGCTATGCTAATAAAATAGACTGTTCAAAAATTGTAATTATGGCTACAATTTCTCAACCAGTAGAGGGCAGCACTTTTGTCATAAATATGATTCAAAAATATTTGGACCCAAAGTACCCGGATAGGAATTTGCCCTTCGATGTGCTGGTAAATTATTGGGACGGTTTCCCAATCGGAGATTCGTGTGGAGGGCCTACGCTTGAAATGTGGGGCCATCCTTATGTAATTGAGCAAGGTGATGTGGGGAAAATTGCCGTATTCCTAGTGAATTTAAATATGAACAATGTTAATTATTCCAATATCTGGGCAAATGAAAAGCTAATTCTGATGATCAATTTCATAACCATGATATCATCAATTATTATTTACACCCATAATAATTCAATTGTCAATGTAAGTGTTATTTAGAATTTAATAAATTATTAAACAATATTTATTAAATATTATTTAACAATTAATAAAATTTAAATTATAATTTATAAATATAAACTCTGAAGTTGCAAAACTTTCTAAATATTATATCCTTATGCCGAATATCATAATACTTTATTTAAATAAGTTTGATCTATTTTGTTTAGAAAAACCATTTTTATTAATTTGAAAAATAATTTTAAATTTTTTTGTGTACTGCACTACAATAAAAAAATAGTTATTTCTAATGTATTAAATCACTTCAATAAATAATTTATTTTTAAGTAGTTAATAAATGTTTATTAATAATTACCCATAAATTTTACCGATTTATTTAATGTTAAATAATACACTACCGTATATTCATGATTGTTAAAAGGTTTATATAGCTTTAATTTACGCATTAATTAACTAATTAATTTAAATATATTAGCAAAGTTCATGGTACTTTTATAATTAACTAATTGTGTAATTAATATTCATACAATTATAATACAATTTATAACATGATTAATTTAATTTAATTTTTAAATTAATAATTAATTAATATTTTCTAGGCTTTATCACAAACCAAATACAACGGTGATACATTTGTTAAACCGATCAAAAATTATGAAGATATAATTACTGAGATTATATCTTGGAACATTAATCTTGATTCAACAAATTCCAAATTTAAACTTGGTGATTATTCAGGGATATATTTCAATGACCAATGCGAATATTTTATTTCATCAACACCAATTGAAAGCACCAAAAAAACCACATGGAACACTAAATTTCTAAATACAGATTACGTTTGCGAACTTGATAATCTCATAAGAAATAAATTGCTCAATGTTGATTATCGACTTAAATACCAACACTTTGGCAACGCTATTGAAATTGTGGAAATCACAGGAAATTTCATAAAACAAATACAAATAGAATTACCAAGCTCACAAACTATAAATAAGTCAAATAAACATGTACTGCAAAGTTACATAAGTAAGCATGACAAATAAATACAATTTTCACTTAAAATTACAGTTTGAAATATATATTTTTTTCAGGTAAAATTGAACTTGATAAAAGTATGATTTCCCATTCAATTGATAATCTACCATCAACTTCGGGTTATTTAAATACTGCCCAAACAAGCATGTCCAACGATGAAATGACCATTGCTGCTGATAATTACTCGAATATTGAATCAAGTGATTGTGTTAAAAATGAACATGAGCATTCAGGTAGCGAAAATTCCTTTGAAATGATAAAGGGCATGGATGTTGTTATTGACATGAACATCGATGCTGATTGCATGGCTCAAATAATAAATCAACTAATTGATAAATACACTGACGATGTGTCTAGCGCAATTCAAAACGAAACAAATAGTATTGAACATAAGCTAGATGAAAGTCACGTTATAATTAAAAATATATGTATTGATAAATTTTGTGAAATATTTCAAACTGAAACGGACCCAAAATATCTGGAGAAACAACGTGAAATTTTATCAATTAAAATTGATACGGTTTATAATGGACTCAAGCAAAATATACATCATGATCAATTAATTTTGAAAAACTTAATGGATGAATTTTCCCAAAATATCAGTACTGTAATTGACACGATTGCCGATGATTTTATCATGCAAAATTATTTGCAAAAAATCCGTAATATTAAAGCAAAGGTATTGAGTGAACTTGGAACGAAAAATAATGAATTGAAATTTCAGTTCAAATTTACTTATTACCTTGATATATTAAAATATTATATGGAAGACGAGGAGTATTTATATACAAAGTTTGGTGAAAGTTTTGAAGAATTTCTTGAGACATGCAAACGTTTTATTGCCTATGACCTGTATTATTTAGACTGGGAACAATTTGAAATTGTCATTGCAAACCCGTTTGATGAAAATAACCCAGAACTCTCCGATAAATTCGATAAATTCATTCTGGCAACAGCAAATAATTTTAAACATAAATGTAATGTTATAAATGCGGATCATGCTCAAATAAACGTTAAATGTAATGAATATGCTACTTGCCAATATACAAGTAAAATGACCACGTTGCTAAAATTGGGTACATACAATGACAAAACTCTATTCGAGCAACATCATTCATTAGTTGATATGATTTGGGAAAATGTGGTTGGTACAATTCTACCTGAAGATTGTAAAAACAGTGTTATCGAAAAGTGTAAACAAGACACGGTTGGCACCCTGACACAGATATTTGCTCAGTATCAAATAAAAAATCGCGAGCATTGTGAGCTTGTTAATACTATCAACAAAAGAACCGAGAATGAATTATATCGTATATATTGCGATAATTTTAATTACGTTTTATCAAGCAACTCTTATGTTGAGAAAAATCGATTGGAAGTATTTGAGAGCGAGTTGCGGGATAAACTAATTTCCGAAAATAAGAAACTTATAGCATTATATAATGAGTCATTTGATTTGGATTACCTGGATAAACTAACAATGGATATATGGAAAATTTTCGAAAATAATGCTATCGAGGCCAAAAATAACTTCCATTCCCAAAACTCACAGAAATTAAATAAAACCACAACACTGGCTGTACATTTCGACAAGTTAAATTTACATTGCGCTTATTATGACAAAAATACTAACTATATACAATATATCTACGATAATAACCGGAAATCACTAGTGAATAGCATTGCGTTTAACGGGTATAAATTTGTACATGGCACTCAAGCTCATTCATATTATAACAAAAATGATTTTGATTTAAAATTATTATTACGACGAGAATATAAAAATAAAGATATTTTAGCAATGGACAATTGTCGGTATCCCTTTGAGTTTGTTGATACAAACCCGCTAACTATTATGTTTACCAAACAAGCACATCCGAGTTCCCGTTTTCAAATGTACATCGAGACTTTAATCGGGCTACAAGTATTGCATTTAAAAACCATATCCGAAACGACATTGAAGAATTTAATACAAAATGCCGTATTTGTGCTACCTTCAATTTCTACTCATAGGTTAATGTGCGCGGTACAAAATGTTGGAAAAATTATCGGCTTAAACAATACTTATACGATTACCGACCTAGCTGCCGGAGCAATAGGTCACGGCTATCATGTTGGCAATTGTAAACAATGGATTAAAGATTTACGTGCTATATTATTAATAATTTTTAACAACGATGTTTATGATATTGCCGTGGTCAAATTTAGTTTTGCAACATTCATCTGCTTTTTGTTACAAGAGCGACATTATGTGGATAAAACAAAAGTGCTTGGCGTAACTTTAAAAAGTCCTAACGCATATCTGAACGATGTTGTTAATAAAGTTCTTAAGATTCATAGGGATTACATTGATGACATTGTAATTACAGGTGAGCGAACTTATTAATAAAATTTAAAGTTAATAATCAAAATGTATACTCCAACTCTGATTTCACATGACCGTATTAATAGTAACCTATTCGATGTAGTCATATGAATGTAAGAATTAAATTCATTGTTTTAATATAGATAACTTACTTAGTTATTAGTTGAGTTTTTATTTAAATATATATACCATAAATACGAACGCACTAATTTGAGAGAGGGGGTTTGATATGGGTCACAATGTTAAACTCTTATGTACAAGGAGACTAAACAAAGGAGTCGGTCAAATTATCTACAATCAATTGTCCTTATAGAATAACCCGTTAATTGCTTAAATTTGATAATTAATATGAATTTTATTGCACAGGACACCCAAAGGGAATAGATATTGATGAGTTTAAAAGACAATTTTCGCGATTACGCTATCAAGTGATTATTCGTAACGATCTAATCATGACCGGGGCAATCATATATGGAAAAATAAAGGAAATGACATCCGGTACGTTTACGATTAAATATGTAGAAGGGACAGAGAAATCACATATCACAATTGACTACCCACTAATAAATGAACAAGTTAAAATGTTAGAAAATTTAAAAATTGTTAAAAATCATGTAACACTTGATGGTCGAAAATTTCTGAAAACAATTGACCCGGATCAAATAACAAATACAACATCTAACCTGGCTACTGCCCAAACAGAAATATCTGCACAATTTAGTACACCAGGCAAATATCCTGGTCAGCCAACTTGGACATCTACAGAATATTTTACTGAAAATGAGCTGACACAATTTGTGGGACAGACCCTGGATAATTTTAAAACCCTTGCAATTACTGAATTAAATAAACCAGATTTTGATTATTCTAATGACAAAAGTACTAAAACAATATTGGACAAAATTGAACAGGATGTTTTAGACAAATTCAACAAAGATTATTATCCCAAATCATCATGGTTAATGTTCAGGAAATATAATTCAAATTTGACTGTGTTAATTAGTAATGAAACTAAATTAATCAATGAGCGCATAAATAATATTGACACGGAAAATTTAAAACTCTGTGAAAACTTAACACCAGAATATGTGGCTAAATTTGACCAAGATCTATTAGATAATATTTACGAAAAAATAAATGAGAGCAATAGCAATTATGATCATCAAAAAATGTTTGAAATTACAAAACAAAAATTAATTATGGATTTTAAATCGAGTGCAAAAGTTCAAGGTTTACTTAGCGAAAATTATGTTAAAAAACTTGAGATGAACCTGGATGACTGCAATAAAAAGTATTTGGATCTATATGAATGTCGAGATAATTACTGGACTGAGTGCCAAAAAATAATATCTCAACAAGTTTATGTGAACATCAGTAAAATTACAACTGCTAAAGAAAATGTTAAAAAGCCTGATATAATCTGGTCAAATTTACAATGTAGTAATTTGCTTGATAAATTTCTTGATAATGTTACCAAGCAAGTTGAAACCGTGTTGGCCGATTTTATTGAAAATGATCGTGGTACAATTAATGGTTTAAGAGATTTATCTATTAAATTATACAAGGAACATTTTCAGGCAAAAATTAAAACAAAATTTTTAACAGCAAATGATTTGCAATTAATACACGACATCATACGTAATAACATTAGCGACAAATTAAATGATCAGGCTCACAAATTTGACGAGAGTCTAAAATCTGACATTGAACGCGCAGTTAAAAACTTTAAAATTATAGTGGATTCATTATACGAGAAATTATCTAAACATTACCTGGATCAAATGTTAACAATATACCATTTAATTAACATAAATGACCTATTATATAAAAAGTTTAATACAACTATTGGCAAAAAGTTAGAAAACAAATTTATTAACAAGGTAGATTTTCAAGAAATGTTCAAGCAACAATGCTCAGCTATTGAAGTCGACCTTCATGAGAGCTGTAAATTTATCGAGACCAATTTTAACAAAGATTTAATGGATGATATTATTGCTAAAAAGAAATTGCAACTTGATCAAAGATTACATAATGTGCAAGGACAATTTAGACTTCAAAACATTCGCAACGCTCCTAAACCGAAAACAATTTGCATGTATTTTGGCGACAATTATTTTTTATCCGGATACTTTGAATATTATTACAAAACCAACAATATTGCCAAATACGTGACTGATGATCATGGCGATTTTATGCACCAAAATTGCATTGCTATTACCAACGATAATATACTGTTAAATAATCAGGATATCATAAGCGCAGATAATAATATCAATATAATAAATATTCTGGGGACTGACCTAACAGATAACACCGACATACCTGGCCTGAAATTAGAGATATCTGAAAATGGCCCTGCAAAAATATGTATTAATATCAAGGACGAAATGTATAAATTAAATGTCGAAACATTAATTGCGCTACAAATAGCCCATATTAAGTTAGTCGCTGAAAAACAGCTTGGCAATAATTTACGAAAAGCTTTATTTACGGTACCTTCGGATTTTACCATGCGTAAGATTAACGCGGTAAAATGTGCTGGGAAATTGGTTGAATTTGACCAGGTTAGTGTAATAAATGATATTACCGCCATTGCTATTGCGTACGCAATTGATGTAAAATTGGGTACTGAAGTTATTATCATAATAAATGTGTCAAGCACATTTAAATTTGAAATTGCTATTGTAAAAGTTAACTACGATATTATTGATTATGATTATTATTGCCAAGAAATAATTGAAAATTTTAACCAGTCTAATTCAAATGAGCTAAATCAATTAATTAGCAATGCAATATCTGGATCTAAATTAAACCAGGATAAATTTTCAAAAGTTTTAATATTTAATAACTCTGTCCTGGAAACCAATGACATTAAAAATGTAGTGGCTCAAAATGTTGACAAAAATAAACTTGTTATTTGCGACATAAATGAATGGATATCTAAGGGAATGGTTGCCTATGGGTTGATGTTAGAAAAACGACTTGAACAAATAACTATTAAAGAAATCACCAAGAAACAAATTTATGCAAAACTGACTTTAAATGATCAAGTATATAAATATACCCTGATAAATCAAAATAAATATTATCACAACTATAGCGGAAATAAACCTGAACTTTTAAAAATTGACAAAGAAATTTATAGAAATAACAAGGCAATTTTGAAAATCATCGAGGGCAGTAATGTGATTTCTAAATACGAAGTTGATACAAAAAAGGTCACTGGTCATATTCGAATAAATTATTCATTTGATAAGGATAATAATGAATTAATGTTTAAAGTTTGGGTAGCCAGATATTCTTTTGCAGATTCGGGGCCGGAATTACATAGCTTATTTAATTTGGAATCTAATTGTATGATTGAGCAACGTAATATATTTAATAAAATCTCAAAACAATTAATTAACCCTGGCCATTCGCAAAAAAGTGCAACAGTGCGCCAAAAAACTGTTCAAGTGACTAAAGAAAATCCAACAAGCTCAAAACTAAGTAATGTTGCTGAAAGTAGTGTGAAAAATACAAAAGCACCGAGACCAGATCCAGTCCCTGACACTAATGAGTGGACAATATTTTCCGATAAAATTAAGAGACGCATCACTGAGCATAATGTCAGTAATATTAAAAGGAAAAGGATTATGGAGAGTTTGGATGAGTTTGATAAAGCAATTAAATATCGGGATATGTCAAAGTTGAAGGATTTAAAACAAAAAATTGTGGATGATATTGTTGGATTTAAACTTCATAAACTTATTGAAGATTAAGGTTAATTTATATTATTGTAATGAGTGAGTGAGTGAGTGAGAGAGAGAGCTTGGTAATTCTATTTGTATTTGTTCCAGCGGACACACAGACGAGGACTTGAGATGAGATGAGCCTCACTTGCAATGGGAGAGAGAGAGAGAGAGAGAGTGAGAGAGAGAGTTTTACTATTTAACAATTTAAAATATTAAAATGTATATTTTTTATTTCTAGGTAATGTTCAGCAAGTTCAACATATCATGCCACAATTTGGGAAACACTTTAATCTCATTAGTTTGGATTTGTTTGATTTTTATTTTATTTTATAAAATCAAATAATTATAATTATATATTAATTAATACTATACAAAGGATATATTATATTTCTTTAGATAATTTCTATATATAATAGACTATAATGCTAATCACTGCATTATTAACAATTTATATTATTAAATACTTTTAATAAGTAGTTTTTATTTAAATTGGTATAAGTTTAAACGTTTTAAATTCTAAAATTTGTTCAAATATTTTGTTTCAATTCTAAAACTTATTATAAAATAAATTGTAATAATTTGTGTATTTAATGCTAATTATAATAATATTTTTATGTAACTTTCATTTTGAAAAATAATCAATAAAACATTAAAATATATTTCATTTTACTGAATTGCTATTATTATTGAAATTTTCTTAATCAAAAACTATTTTAAAAATGGTTTAATAATTAACATTTATTAACTTATTCAATAACAAAACATTTTAAAATTCTAACATACTAGCGCCATCATATATTAAATAAATAAACTGTTTACAATACCGTATAATTGTATTTTATATTTTGACTTTTAATATTGGTGCTAGTATTTTGCAAACTACACTGCATTGTTATTTTGTTATTTTTATATAAATATAAATCTACTTGCTTACTTTATTTTACCAAATAAATTAATTATGAGCAACAATGATTACGATCATGCTAAACGTAAAAAGGCTATACTGGATGAATTTGAAAAGGAAATCACCTACAACCTGGTATGCCATGGAACGCCTACCGGTGACAGTGAACTGGAGCTGGCTCATTTACGCGATATAAAGGAGCGCCTAGAAAATGAAAAGATAACTGAACCTGGTAATTGCTATACACGCGATTTTTTGATCATGAACGATAAGTACGATAAATACGTAAAGGAGCTTGATAAATATGGCAATCTGGACAAGGAGGTGGATCTGGATAGACAGCGTACAGAGTTGTATAGCAATATACAAAAACACCGCGAGCAGTTAAATAGAAATGCTGTTAAAACATTACAGTTTATTCGGGATGATAAAATAAAATGTAGTGCTAAACTTGATAATGAGCTTGATGAAAAGGTTACTGATATTCTAGCGCAAAATAAAAGTTACCCGATCATGGAAATTGATAAATATATGTATAATTTAAGCAAGCTATAATTTTGTTAAATAATAAAAATATGTTCATTAATTTATTAATATTTATTATATTTTATTTATTAAAATAAATAAGGTAGCTCTAAAAAGGTAAATAATAATTAAATAAGTAATTAGTTTTTGTATACATTAATTATTATGTTATAAATAATTTTATAAATTATACAAGTATATGCATGTTAATTTTAAACAAAAATATATTTAAAAATTAGTTAGCAAATTTTTATCTATTTAACAACATCTAAATATTTTTATCAAACTTTACATTACGTTGACTATCATTTTAATAAATATCCATATATGGAAGTAAATCTAAACAAATATTTAATGTTATCATTAAATGTAAATATCTATAAAAGTTAATTTGATATATGATATTTATGCTATGCACATGGCAACATAAATTCCATAAGCTTACTACAACTAAAGTTAGTTATATTAACATAGTTATTTTGGAAATATAAATTAATGTGAATTTATCAAATTTAAAATGTTTTAACTAAATTAGTATAATATATATATGGTAGTAAATATGGTTTTATATTAATATGATAAAATTACCTTTGTAAACTTATAATATTGTATACTATATAACATTTCTAACCGAAAGTTAAATAATTTAATATATTAGCTATCTTACACAAATTATTCACTGATATATAATATGTGCATCAACTATAAACAACCAAGCCATCTAATTATTTAAGCTACGCACTATTATTAAATATAAATTTTAAAATACACAAAAATTATTTTAATATCATAACTATACAAGTTAATTTTAAGTTAATAACATTACAAGATTTATTTTTAATTTATTGATGAATTAATAATTAATTTGACATTCTATATTCTTGTATATCTTGTTGGCTTATATTTATAATTTCTGTAATTTAATATTAAAATAATAAGTGAATATAGTAAAAATAAAATCTTTGCTTATTATTAGTTATAATACGATTGTAATATTTTAAAAATTTATAAAAGTTATTCTTCAATTTAATTTTTAATTATGGACCCAGTTCAAATTATTGAGCTGCTTTATGATGACAATAATGACAATACGCTATATAAACTAAAAAATAAAAATCTAAATAAAATTTTAGATGTAGTTGGTAATAGGGAGTTGGCCCTGATTAATGTGGTGGGAAAATCTCGCCAAGGTAAATCATTTTTGCTCAACTATATGGGCAGGTATATTTTACAAAATTTATTGCATAATACGGCTACACGGTCTACCACACCGCTAACCGGTAATTATAATATTGGTTTTTTAAATATTACTTTTTATTTAGTTTGGAGTATTTATATTTCATAATTAATTTGCTAACTAATAGTTTATTTAAAATAGTCTAGTAGATAGGTAAGAGGCTTTTACAACTAATAAAATATCATTAGGTACATATTAAAATTACTTTTAAACATTATAATTATAATGAAATATTTATTTTGTTAATTTTTGCATTTAATTCAATCTTTATTTAAAATTATTACCATGATAATTTTAGGGTTTGAGTGGAACACCGGTCTAAAACTGGTCACAAATGGGATTTGGTTCTCGCAACCATTTATTGTAAGCAAAACCAATGGCCAGGAGTTGGCCATCATTTTGGTGGACACACAGGGCCTGTACGACGAGAACTACACCCAAAGGGACTCGTCTACTATTGTAGGCCTGAGTCTACTGATGACATCGGCGCTGGTATTCAACGTGTTTAATAGCCTACAGGAGGATGACCTGGGTATTATGCACTCAATACTGGAGTTTGGTTTAGAAGTTGTCCGAAGTGGACAGGGAGATGGCGCTAGTGCTACGGCGCAATTGGATAAACCTTTTCAAAATTTGGTAAATAATTTATAGATTTTAATTTATAGATTTAATTTAATTAGCTAGTAGAATAATTACAATTTTATTTTGTTTATAAATTTATTGGAATATATATATATTCATTATATTCATTGGTGCATGCATATTAAAATAAGATTTACTTAGAAAGTTACTTAAAAATATTTAAAATAGAAATGAACAGAGTTAATTTACTGATTTTGTATATTTCAAACAGATATAATAAATAATACGCTATTTGTAAATACTGTATTATACTCAAATTAGTTCCATGGTATAATTTTTATTCTTAATTTTAAAATAAATTAATCAATTAGAAATTTTATAAAAATTATTTTAAAATAAATTATCCGTGCATAATTAGCTATTTATGATCCGTGACTGGACCAGTCCCAACATACACCAGTACGGTATGGACGGGGGTCAGGAGTTTTTGGAGGACAAATTGGCGGTCAAACGTAATCAATCAGCCGCGTCTAAAGGTGCAAGGAAGATTATTCATAACTGTTTCACCAACATCAATTGCTACCTAATGCCGGAACCTGGACCTGGTGTACGTGAGGCCGACTTTGCAGGTCGACTCAACCAATTAAGTCCCCAATTCATTGAAATTTTGGACGAGTTTTGCGCAAAGTTTTTAAACCCGGATGAGTTGCCCGTGAAGGTGCTCAATGGACAGCCGTTAAAGGGCCAGCAGTTTGGCCAGTATTTTGAGAGCTGCGCCAATATGTTTAATAATAGCGATGCATTACCACTGGCTAGCGATATGCTACAGGCGCTCAATAAGGCTTTCGATATCAATCTGATTACACAGATTAAGGTTGTATATTTTGCTAATTATTAATAATTTTTATTAGCCTAACTAAATTAGTATTTAATTCAAAGTTTTATAAATTTTAATTATTCACGATATCGTTATTTATTTTAATAATTTAAATATTATAAAAATACTATAAACTTTTCACATATAATAATAGATAATACAGAATACCTTTATTATACTATCAGGTTTATAAATAATTATTACTGTTTATATAAAAATATATTTAATAATAAGATATAAAGCTAAATAAAATTTTTAAAATTAATAATTAATGGCTCGGATTGTCAACTCGGAGCCAAAATAATATTATTACCATAATTTAGTAATAATTAAATGATAATTATTATACTTATTACAGTTTTTCAAAATGAGCTAATTTCAATAAACATATAGATATTATTTATATTAGGTATAACCTAAAAACATAAAAAATTAATTCATCTAAATCAATAAAATGATAATAAGTTAAATTAAATTAATATTACAATAATTTATCAATAATTAAATTATAATTATTATACAAATTACAGTTTTACATAATTTAAAGTTAATACTAATTTTTATCTCTAATACAATACTGAACTACAGTTGTATTGTTAAACAAAAATATTTAAAAACTAATTAAAACTTTATCTAAAAGGATGAATACCTGTCAGAAATGGTTATCATATTAAGCGACAAAGATTTCTACGAAGAATCCGAACTCATGTCGGAATCGGACAAATTGATCGACACATTAAAGTCGAAGTTCGATATCCGGAAAAAGTCGACCGACGAGACAGCTATCCACGAGTTGACCCAAATGCTAACGGAGTCGTTGAGCGCCTCCTATCGGCAGAAATGCGATGAAAATGATGTCAAACGAAAGGCTGGGATGAATGACACGATAACTAAGTTTGTGGATGAGTTTGGCGATGAGCTTAAATGTATAATTAAAAGCGATGATTGCCTGGCTGAAAATACACTGGATAAGATTATTGACACACAAATTGAGCATGTTGTGAACAAGTTTAAAACATTTTGTTCACACGACACTGACTTATACGATAATTTTAAAGGCAAGGTATGTGCTAATGATCCAAGGTGTTTTATGTTTTAAATTTTGAAAAAACTGATGAATATTTTGATGCTTGTTTTAGCTTAAGAATCAACTGGAAAATCAAGCAAGTTCATTTAAAACGGATAACAAGAGGCGTATTCAAGATTTAAAAAAGGAGTACGATGATAACTTGGCACTATTAAAAATTGAATATGAGCAGGTAATTATCATATTTATAAATATTAACATTACGAGATACAATAAAGTAAAGCACTAATTTGAACTTTGCTTTTATATGACTGTATTATTGGTAAACAATACAAAATAATTATATGAATGCCAAGTTTAAATTTGTATTTAAACAACATTTTATTTATTTATATAAAAATAATATAATCTACTACAACATTCACTTATTAATACCTTATATTAACCTAATTACTAATAAATTAAAATGCTACTTTAATAGAGCATGAGCAATTTATTTGCCGAGCCAACCAAATACTACGAGCACGATGAACTGGATCACTTAAGCGTTACCTATCAGAATGACCTACTATCAAAAATTAACGTCAACACAGATCATGAAAATATAATCTCGTTTCAAAATTATATCCAATCGTTTGACACATACATAGCTAGCAAACTACAAGATTACCAAGATAAAAACCAGACCAGACGTGCAATGGCTGATATCGAGGCAACTAAACTCATTGATGAGCTTGGTGATAACTACGAAGTTGAGCTCGATCATTTGATACGACTGGGCAGTTGTGATACTGTAGTCGAGTTTAAGGTCAGGGCTCAACAAATCCAAACCGCAATTGTTAATGAGCACCGGGATAAGCACCGGTACTCCAAGGGCACCGGTATCCCACATTTGAATCTTCGAAAATTAAATGAAAAGTTTGTCGAAACTCTTGAGGACTGTATTGACGTTTTTAATCGAAATCAAGTGACTATGGAGTCGAATACCCAGGGGCTCATGGAACGGGTGATTAGGCGTTACCGGGATAAAATGAATAGTTACCTTGATGCTAATGGATTTGTTAGAGGTGAGCGACTCCAGGTTCATCATGAAGAATTATGTCAGCAAGTTATCAAGCATTTTGATACTGAAAAAGGACATTTAACCAATGACAAATTTACGAGAATGGTTATGGACAAATTAAACCTGGTGTTCAAAAGTGTGCAAGAGGAAAATGATAAAAACACGCCTACATTACCGGCTATTGGAATTGATTTAGGTAAAATTAACATTGTGAATTTGTCAAAATATTTTGTTTTTATATTTTAACATAATATAAATTAATATTTAATCTATTTGATAGAGCATTTTGAACTTTTGCAAACTATAAAAATTAATTAGTAGTATGACTTACTATTTATTATACAGTACTAATTATTATTTTTAAAAATAACGTAGTCATAAATAATTAATTCTACCAAATAATATACATATTACATAGACTTGGTAAAAAGGTATATTTCAACTTTACTTTAATATGACAATATAATTTTAAAACAGTATTGTAATCTCATATATCGAATTAACGTATACGTTTTGATTATTATATCTACATGTGCAATTAAAATACAAATTATATATTTTTCAACTCTAGGTACGACTAATAGTTGCGTGGCGTACTACCACCCGGACGGACGATTGGGCAAGGTCATTGTACTGGAAAATCGTGGCAAATTCACCACACCCTCGGTGGTCGAGTTCGGTGACACTCAACCAGTAGTGGGAGATTCAGCCAAAAACAATATACTAAACAATCCGCGAAACATAATCTATTCGGTGAAGCGACTAATCGGACGCAAGTTTAGCAGCGCTGAGGTCACTGGCGATCGGAAACACTGGCCCTTCCGGGTGGTGGACATGGATGGCGACGAACCGGGCGTTGAGGTGGAGGTTAACGGCAAAAGTGAGCGCTTTTATCCCGAGGACGTGTCCGCCCAAGTGCTCAAAAAGATGAAAGAAATAGCCTGCGCCCCCTCATCGGTGTCTTTGTCGATGTAAACGCCGGTGCGATCGTCGAACTCGTTCAGGCAATAGGCGATAATGTTGTCGTCGATATCGTCCCCGCCCAAGTGGTTGTCCCCGCCCACGGCCAGTACGTGCACTTCACCACGCTCAAGTTTTAGTATGACCACGTCGAAGGTGCCGCCACCAAAATCGTATATGAGCACGGTCCTATATTTTATAAATTAAAATTAACTTTGTTATTGATATAAAATATATAACATGTATTTAATATAATGTTAAATATAAAAACGTATAGAAGTAAAAATAATTTAAATTTTTAATTGATGTAATAATTTAAATAAATTAATTTTTTTTATAATTACTTTAAAAATTAAAAACCTTATATAAAAATTATAATTAAAATATGTTAACTAATTTTACCGCTATACAAACTGTAATTAATATTTAACATATTATATAAGTATGCTTAAAATATAAATTTATTAATAAATTGGTTCTAGTTGAGCATACGAATTTGTTACAAGTTTTTATATTTTTATTTAAAAAATTGTAATGCTTGACTTAAATTGTAAAATTAAAATATAAT